GTTGCCAGTGATGTCGGCGTGTCCCGGGCACCAGCGGAAGTGGACAGGGACGGGGATGGAGTCTATGAGATCATGAGAAGCAGACATTATCACCCCAATACGCCATCACAAGCTATCGCAAGCGCCATTGCTGCGGGCACAACTTCTGCCGATGCCACGACCGGGCAGGGTGGCCCGCTGCCCCCTGGCACTGCTACCACTGACGACGTGCATATCCACAGACACGGCCACTCGCACAAAGGATGCTGCAGCTCATTGAGGCTCTTGCTTGGTATTGATACCTTCATGGTGACAGCTACGGGTCAGGATGAAAGAGTGAACAAAAACCCGTTCAGTCAGGGGTGTTTTACCAACTGCAAGGACTTCTGGTTCGACGGGACTCCGGTGCTCAGTTACAAAGCGACTGGGCATGCAAGACTAGCCGGGCGGGACGTGAACTACCACCAGATGTTTGATGTTCCATACAATGGGAGGTCTGGAGACTCGATGATGGTCTACAGGAGCCTGCGTGGAGACGATGTTGTGTGATGTCGTCGTCCGACGGCTTTAATTCAGTCTGATACCAATTTACTCGCATAGCATACATGTCTTTCTGCCCCCTGTGCCATAATAACAATCTTCAAGATACAGCTGATCACAATACATCATGACGGATTGAATGGCTTCCTCCTATTCGTACAGTCAACAATTCCTTGTAGAGGAACTCAGTCTCACCTGTCCTATCAAGCCTCATATTGACTAAACTTCTGGTTTTAGGGCAAGATGGCCGAGCGGTCTAAGGCGGCAGATTTAAGTAACCTCCAAGGTACGAAAACTCTGCTAGTGGAAACACTGCGTGGGTTCGAACCCCACTCTTGTCAGTCAATATTTTTGGTTTCTTTTTTGTTTTCATCCTTCATCTGTCCTTTCACCATCACATACGGATGCCACTTGTGTATTCCGTAGCACCCCGCGTGTTGCAAAGAGAAGGATAATAATGATTGGCCGTGCAAAGTAGATCAGCGAATGTTGCCCTACGGCCGATTGCATTGACCAACTCTACGCTCGCGTTGCCGATACGCGTCATCCACGTTGAACAGGTCCACGGTCAGGGCCTGGGCGCCTTGTACACACATACGTGAACAGTGAATCCGTGTCAGTTTCTGGAATCCAGTCCTGGCACTTGATTGTCGCTCAGCATAGATATCTTGACCCTCTTATCCTTCTGTCCACCGTGTACGGAGTATCTTCTTAGCAAACCGCCTCAAGTGACGTTGACATTGCCATCATTGCCAAACGCGCTGCATAGATCTTGGCTACCCGCTCATACTCCTTCGACGTCATGGTCTCTCGCTACTGGTTTGCTCTGTCACTTGCCGCATCATTGGCAGCCTCCTTGCCCGATGTCAAGTTCACTCTACCAAAGGGAGGAGAGATCTTCAAAGGAGGCGAGCCTCTCGAAGCAGCATGGCAATTCTCCGGCAACGATACCTTCGTTCCTCCAAGCACCAAGTACGATCTATATCTATGTGCTGGAGGCGTTGAACATGATACATATGTATGACAGGTTCAACCCAAAGCCGAGTCTAATTGGCATGAGGCAACTAACGATCATGATAGGAACAACTGTTGCCCATAGTTGAAGGTGTGAAGCTTGCTGGTAGCCGCTCCGCGTCGGCTGTCGTCCCTCGCAATGTAGGCCAAGATCATGACAACGCCTAGTACGACCGGTTCTCCAGCTCTGATTCATGCACTTGAAGCTCGAATCCATCCAAGCTAATGCCTAATTGCAGTTTCCTCCAAATGATCATCAACCCATCCGGCGACGCAACTGTCGTGCACTCAGAACGATTCGGATTCTCGTCTTTGACAGGCAAATTCCCAAATCGCATTTCTGACATCCTGTTCCACCTTCACCCGACAGTTACACAGGCACCAACAATACCTCCCAGCATTGGTGAGCTCCTGAAGCGGCAAGCCGGCGAGCCTTTTGCCAGACAGACGGGAGAGACGAAGTACGCCCCCGCGCCCAAGCAACCCGGCACAAAGATCACCAAGTCGTCCGTGAAACCGCAGCATTCCACTAGCTCGTACAGTATTGCGTCCATGCCTCTGGACGATGCTACGATCAAGACAACGATCAGCGCAAGTGCGACATTCAGTACAAAGAGTATCGAGAATACTGCTAAGGCTGCAGGCAACCCAACCGACGGGCCTCAGAGTGCTGACAACAAGAACAAGAGAGGCGAAGAGGATGAAATGCTGAAGCTGCTCAGAAGATGGGCTGATTAGGCTGATGCTGACGGTTTCAAGGCAACCCCGTCTTCCGCGCCAGGTTAGCGGTGCAAACGGTATTTTCTTTCTTTGTTTTTGTTTTTTTCTCGTACAGTATCTCTGCATTTTTGCGAAAATATACCTATATTCAATTAATCTGAGTTTGATGCTGTTCTCGTTCTGCGTTGATCCATTGCACGCACATTTCATGCCATCAATGGCAAAGCTCCCATTGTCATTATATCTTTGAGCTTAGCTGCCGCATCGAGGTGCAGGGTGAATTTGACCCCTTTGACCTCCAAACAAGGCTCGGTCCTGGAGATGGCGGCACAGTCTGCAGTGGTACTCAGCCAAGCGCCTATGTGGATTGAGGTTGAACTTGGAGTGACATGGCAAGACTCCAATCAAAATAGCCCACTCAATTCCAGCATGTCAAAAAGGTCACTGGTTTTTTGAAGATTTTCGACTGCAGACCCATCAATCTTGGAGTGATACAGATTCGAGGGTCTTGTTAACGACAGGCAGCAGCTCTGCGAGCGCATTCATGTCTCTCATAGTCGCGGGAACGTCCTCTCCTCTCCACCGAATAAGCTTGAAACCATGATATTAGCAACGTAGCCGACACAACGCGACTGGAAGGGGTGTTACCTCAGCCAGTGCTTCATATTTCTCTTCTTTCTCGATGTACTCTCTTATCACTCTGCCAGTGTTGAAATCAATATAGACTCGGGTATCCCTCAACCGAACGAGAACGTTGTCCAGCCTCATGAAAAATCGCATTAACAACAACAACCGTTCTGGCATCACACGAATTTTGACGGACAGCATCGAAATGCCATTATCCGCCAGCTCATCCTCGTAAATCACAATCTCGTCGAACAGAAGAATCGGATCAGGCCGTTTGAGAAGCTCTATTGGAATTTGTTCGTCCGTCGGTGTGAACGGCCTTTCAGTAGAGAGCACTGTGCCCTTGTAGTCTGTTGTGTATGACCAGTCAAATGGTTTGACATATTCTTTGATGTCCTCTGAGGGGTTTTGCCTGGAAAGACTGTATCAGATGGCGCCTACTCAACGAGTCATTCGTCAAGAATTGCGATTGCCCACCTGCTCTTTTGCCATGAAGACGAATGCGCCACCTTCAGCATCCTCTCGCCGGTCTTATCGACCCTGTCCAGTGCATCGAAGGAATTGAACGTCATGCCCCATCCTGAGGGCTCATGCAAGATCGAGACGTGGTTGTCGCCGAATATCATTTCTGGAGGCGGAATCCCCAACTTCTGGGTCATCTCCTCAATGGGCCCGGCCTTCAGTATTGGGAGCTTCTGCGTCGTGATCTTGAAGCCCTTGGTCTTGAAGCTATTCGGCTTGGGCGCCGTGGGGAGTGGAAAGGTCGCATTGACCGGTGCTGTCAATGGAGACGCCATGGCGATGCTCTGTCTGTATCTTCTCTTCTTCCTTTCTGCAATCACATACTCCGTAGTCCTTGCTCGTATTGTGTCGACTCGTTCCGTCGATCTTGGTGTCCCCCGGGCCGCAACCGAGCAGGCGATGTTCGATACTGGACTAGCGCGCGTCTGACCGGCTGAAATCAATTAACGTCGCGTATCGCGGTTAAGGCCCCAGACGTAAGCGGTCTAAGCGGTCTCCTGGCCAACGCCCAACGGGGTTGTCAACAATAACATCGGGCTGTCCGCCAATCTGAGTCTCCTCCTCCTCTTCGTCGGGTCTCTGCATAAAAGCGTCGAACTCCTCTCACCGTCTGTGTCGGATTCGATTCCTGCCTCCCCCCTTTTCTTCTTCCATTGAACCAATTCGCAGCTGGGAGCGATCCTGGAGATTATATTTACACTTCCCAACATCACCCACGCTGATTGACGGAACATGTCGGCCAAGGCGCTCGAAGCCCGTTTTGAACGGTTGTCTGTCACTGATGAGAATGAGCCCCCTGCTCACCACCATTATGCTCCCAAGGGCAAAGTAGGTTACTGCAATGTGCAAGGGATAGACTGGGGGGATATCGTCCTGACACAGCGTGCTCGACAGGTTCCGCATTCTTCGGCACACACACATTCTTCGGCACACACAACAAATGCATCGACAGCCAACGCCAACCGCCCAAACCTCTTGAAGTTCGCTTTGCAGAATAGCACAGACTCGAACCACCATCCAAATATCTCGCCTGCCGGCCGCGATTTTACCGTCAATGCGAAATCAGTGTCATCAATCAACAGTACGGTCGCTGCAGCTGCTGCCTGCACCAAAGACACCAATCCATCGTTCTCAGGAGACGACGCTAGCAATGCTGATAAGCCAAGGAACTTCCACTTGGGCATGTTTGAAATCGGGAAGCCATTGGGCAAAGGCAAATTCGGCCGTGTCTATCTCGCCCGTGAACGCTCAACGGGCTTTGTATGCGCGTTGAAGGTTCTGCACAAATCTGAACTCGTGCAGGGCGGCGTCCAGAAACAACTGCGCCGCGAAATTGAAATTCAGTCTAACCTCCGCCACCCCAACATCCTGCGGCTGTACGGTCATTTCCACGACAGCAAGCGTGTGTTTTTGATTCTGGAGTTCGCTGGCAAGGGCGAGCTGTATAAGCAATTAAGAAAGGAAAGCAGATTTCCAGAGTGGAAGGCTGCGCAGTATATTGCGCAAATGGCCGCTGCTCTGAAGTATCTGCATAAGAAGCACATCATTCATCGAGATATCAAGCCAGAAAACATCCTTGTCGGTATCCATGGCGAGATCAAGATTAGTGATTTTGGTTGGAGTGTGCATGCGCCCAACAACAGGCGAAAGACCATGTGCGGAACCTTGGACTACCTACCACCAGAGATGTTGAAGTCTGGAAGCAGAGACAACTTCTATAACGAGAAGATCGATCTATGGAGTTTAGGAGTCCTTACATATGAGTTCTTGGTCGGCGAGGCGCCATTCGAAGATACACCAGTCAGGACACAGAGGAGAATTGAGAGGGCCGACATGACAATACCTGGATTCCTCAGCCCTGAAGCCAGGGATCTCATCAAGAAGGTTCGTTCCAACGTATCTGAATCCGTGTGTATCATTCATGTGCTGACATTGTCGGTGATAGCTTCTTGTTCTTGACCCGGAGAAGCGCATCGATCTCGATGAAGTGCAAGCTCATCCGTGGATCCTGAAGCATTGCGTTCTAGGAGAGCGAGCGGCAAAGCGGAGTTCGGAAAAGAGCTCACGGACAGCGCGTGAATGATCGCAGCGACCATCGCCTAACAAGCGATGAAGAGGCACACAAAAAGAAATTGTTTTCAATTGTTCTCATTTCTCTGCCGCGTTCACAAGCTCTATATCCTCCTGCATCTTCGTTCAATGGCGCCATTCCTTTTCCTTGCTCGCTTGCACTCGCACTTCCTTGACACGTATGTCTTCGTTGCATCAATTGTTCAGGCATAAAGTCCGACTTTGGTAGACTGTTCATATCCTCCGCGTTAGTTCTGTCAGGTTCATATGAGCACCCTGTTGATGACCTATTGCCGCTTTTTTTTTTCTTCGTTTCTTTAAATCTTTTGCATTGTTGATTGAGACTGTTATATACTACTCACCAAACCCACCAATGCACTAATAATAC